CAATTTTTTAAAATTAAACACTATCTACAGATTTGCATCGAAGCGTTTCTTATGATAGTGATTTTAATCACTGTCAGATTAAATCTAGACTGAACCCAACTATGCAATGTCTCCACTATGCCGCGACCCCACTGTGCTACCGTTTTTTTTGTTAATATATATATATATTGAACTTTGCATAAATTCTATAGGCATAATTGGAATTCAAATACAATTTTTGACTTGTAAAATCTAGTGAAAAAAATTCAATTTATATAACTTAATCAATTTACTAACTGAAACTTAGGTATTTTTCTTAATACCTAAACTTTACCCTATATGTTAACAAATTAACTCAATGCTTTGTCAATAATATAACTTATTACATTTTTCATTAATATTAAAACCACTCATTTGTGTGATTATAATTAGTGGTTAATATTTATCATAAAAAGAAATAAGAAGTTCTACAAATTTTTGTTCTTAAAATTTTACCTCCAATAAACTACTTGATAATTTTTAAAGAAAATATGCATAAATATACCTGTGACTAATGATTTTTTATGTGGAAGTAATGTATCCCATAAAGCAACATTTCTATTTTCAGAGGAATGTCCCGTAGTAGCAATTAAACTACATGAGCCAAGGAATACAAAATCGCTAGTAACTTTACTATGGCATTGGAATGTCTAAAAAAACATGTAAAAATATATTTATGATTTTAATAAAAAACTTAATATAATTTTATATTACTAACATAAAAAGGTCGATAATTTGAAGAAGTGAGACCAACATTAAATAATGATAGATTTCCATCACCATCTGCTACACCAAATTTATTGCCATGTTGAGAAAATCGTACTCTAGTGACTTTAGCAAAAGTACCAGCAGCTCGTGGTTCAGCAACAGTTTGAGGATGACCCCATTCCCATATGTGTACTGAACCATCTTGTGAGCCCGTCAAATCTAAACCAAATTCAATTATAAGTTTATTCATAATTTATGAATATAATGCTATAGGTATACTTACAAACTGGTAGTAATGGGTGAGGACATATCCTTCGTATGTTATCAATACGATGTTTCATAACCTAAAATAAAAAATTAGTAAATAACATGAGTTTTATAAATGTACCATAAGGTTAATGCATTTTTACAGCATGGTGTATGTACAAATCATAAATATCACAAACAAGTTTAGCTAACATATCAAATTTTAATTTTTTGTAACTCACTACAAAAATAAAAATGTACTAAAATAAAAAAATAACATTAAAACCAAAAAAAAAAATTAATATATATAAATACGTGTAAGAAATTAATTTTGTAGTTATTAAGTTACTCTACAACAAAAGAGAAACACTCAGTTTTTTTACATAGTATTTTATCGTTGGTAACCAGACCCTTAGGTCAGCATATTCCAGACATCAAATGTATTACTATATTATAACGCTTATAGGCGCCAGCATTTTATGAGAACAAAGACGACGTCTGTCGTTATGACATTATAATTTCTAAGAATGTTATCATCGGTTACCAGACGCTTAGGTCAGCATATTCCAGACATCAAAGAGGTCGCCGCATAGTAATGTCGTATGAATCTTATCATCGTCAACCAGACGCTTAGGTAATCATATTTCCAAAGATGTTACAATATATTAATGGTCACTGTGGTATGCATTTTATGAGAAAAATGACAACGTTTGTCACGCTTACGCATTTTGTTATTTTACTATATAACCGGTTAAACGCTCTGTATCCTGTCACATTCGTGTTCAATTAACGTTAACGCACAGTTGATTATTTGAAAACTATAAATTTATTATTTTAATATTTTCACGCGCAAATAAGAAATCATGAACCAGCAAACGTCTTCTGTACCAGGTATGTACAATTATTAACATTTGAATATCTCTTTAATTTTATCATCCCTACCATTTTTTTTTTCCAATAAATAAATAATTTATTTCATTTTTGATTAAAGCTACTTCCGCGACATCTGTTTCATCATGTCAGGCGGCTAAGCTTAGTAGGGCCAACAACAGCGCGGTTAGGTCGAAAAGGTTACGTATGCAATTGACGGATACCAGTGATTTCACCGAGATCGATTCCGCATTGGAGCGGGGGGCCGTTTGGTTTTACCGGAAGAACGTGGAAAATTTCGCGAGCTATCGAGATTTTCTACGCGCCGATAAACCTGAGCTGGTGGCCAGACTGAGGCTGAAATCGTAGGTAACCGTCCGATCAAGTATAATCTCAAATTGGAGGCCTCTTACCATATACCGCGATCGGAAGCACCGCCCGAGGACCGTGCCTTCAAGACACGGGCTAGGTCGTTGTTGTCCAACGCGGACATTGTGGGTGCGGTCAATGACGATTTCGATATTATGCTCGCTGAGGAAGACGTGTACTCAGGCAGGGGTAGCGGATTCACGCTAGCGCATATCGACGGACTCATGCTCAGCGTATACAAATATACGCCTCTTACCAGCTCATCATATATTCCGATCCCACCTGAAATTTTCCATAGAAGAGCAATCATCAACCCACAAAACATCGATCAGTCCTGTTTCAAGTGGTCCATTTTGGCGAGACACGTTAAGGGAGATCACAAATACCGCGTTGATCGAAAATATTTTAACGAGGAACACAGGTATGATTTCACGGGGTTGACGTTCCCCACACCTGTGTCCCAAATTAAAATATTTGAGCGACGAATACCTAACGTGTCTGTCAACGTGTATGGCTTGGAACGAGACGACGTTAAGATGAAGTGGTTGGTGTATCCTCTAAGAGTCGCCGACCATGAGCAACAGAATCATTTTGACCTGTTGTACATCGGTGACTCTGACAAGTATCATTACGCGTACATNCCTGACAAGAATCATTACACGTACAGTTCCGATTTTTCGAGGCTCGTGCGCAGCCAAAAAACTCAACATCATGGCCGCATATACACTTGTAAACGTTGTTTCACCAGTTTTAATGATATGACTAAAAAGCATATTCTTCGGGGTCAACAAGCGTTGGAGCAACACAAGTTGATATGCGGCAAGAACAAGCCTATTTTACCCGTTATGCCGGCGGAGGGCAGTAAGGTCGAATTTGACGCGTGGGTAAAGACGCAACGGTTACCGTTTGTCATCTACGCCGATTTTGAGGCCTTACTGGAGAAAACAGACGATCGTATGGGTGCATACACCAGGACTGTGCACACCCACCATCCCATGAGCTATGGGTTCATGGTGAAAACATCGGACAATGTGCCCTCCGAGCTCCTCGAACGCTATGGTATACCACAATCACCGGTGATATACTGTGGGTCCGAGGATCGCGAAGAGGTCGCCAAGGCATTTGTGATGGCTGTAACTGAAGTGACGCGCAACATTTCTAAATTGTTGCGCAAAACCAACGTTCCCATCCGAATGTCTCTCGAAGATGTGCGCAGGCACAGGGAGANTCAACCCCAAAGTCGCAGACCACTGTCATTTATCGGGCCGATTCAGACAGACGTTGTGCAATGCATGTAACCTGAAAGTGAAGACGGTCAATTTTGTGCCGTGCTTCTTGCACAATCTTTCAGGTTACGACGCGCATTTCATCGTCACTGAATTGGGGTACGACGACCAAAGGATTTCGGTCATACCGAATTCCGAGGAGAAGTATATTTCGGTCACGAAACACGTGACCAATAACTTCTCCATACGGTTCGTCGATACCTTCCGGTTCATGGCCTCCTCCCTGTCCACCTTGGCCGGTAACCTAATGACGCCCGACTTCCTTAAATTCCGGGAGACGGCCAAGGTGTTCCGTACGGAAGACATGCCGTTGGTGACGCGTAAGGGCGTATACCCCTACGAGTACACTGATAGTTGGGCTAAATTGGAAGAAACGGAACTACCACCTCAGGACGCTTTCTATAGTCAGTTGAGTGAGTCTAATATTGATGACGACGACTATAGACATGCCACGGAGGTGTGGAACCGTTTCGACTGCTCAACCCTCGGTGAGTACAGCGACCTATATCTTAAGATCGACGTGTTGTTGTTGGCTGATGTGTTTGAGAACTTCCGCGACATCTGTATTTCAACATACAATTTGGACCCGGCGCACTATTACACCGCGCCTGGTTTTAGCTTCGATTGTATGTTGAAGTACACTGGGATGAAGCTGGAGCTCTTGAACGATTACGACATGCTACTGATGGTGGAACAGGGCATTCGTGGTGGGCTAGTGCAGGCCGTCAAGCACTATGCAAAGGCCAACAATTCTAAGACACCCGATTACGATCCGTCAAAACCAGAATCATGGATCGTGTACCAAGACTGTAAGTAATCTATACGTATATATATAAACGCGCAATATTTGAGCGGTGGTTTAAAAACGTTTAATGTATACAGTCAATAACCTTTACGGGTAGGCTATGAGTCAGCCCATGCCGTACGGTGGCTTCCGGTGGTATAAAGGAGCAGACCCTCTGGCTGACCTCCAATCGTTGTCGGACACTGGTAATACGGGGCGTATATATGAAGTGGACGTATCGTATCCACAAGAGCTGCATGACAAGCACAACGACTTGCCGTTCTTGCCTGTCAACGATGTACCGCCGGGTTCCAAAGAGACCAAACTCATGGCCACTTTGAAACCCAAACAGCGGTACGTCGTACATTACGTTAATCTTAAACAGGCGATCGCACACGGACTGCAAGTCGATAAAGTATGTATAATTAACCTATAAACTATAAGCGATGATACTAATATAAATATTTGTACTGCAGGTGCACCGCGTTTTAGAGTTTCAACAAAGTGCTTGGTTGAAACCATACATTGAGTTGAACACTGAAATGCGGAAAAAGGCGGCAAATGCTTTTGAAATTGCATTTTTCAAACTAATGAACAATGCCGTCTTTGGTAAGTGCATGCTCAATGCTAAAGTGGGTTATTCGATAATTTTTTACATTTTATAGGGAAAACAATGGAGAACATGCGGAAACGCATCCGTATTGAGCTAATCTCCAGTCCCGAACGTCTAAGCAAGCTCGTAAACCAACTAACCTTCAAATACTGTATCAAATACAGTGAAAGGTTGTGTGCCGTCATAATGGACCCAAAGATGGTCAAGTTTATCAAACCAATATACGTCGGTTTAGCAGTGCTTGACATTAGCAAGACGCTAATGTACAAGTACTTCTACGACGTATTGAAACCACATTATGGCAGTGCAATCGAATTGGTTTACATGGATACTGGTGAGTACAACCGTACAGTAGAAATATTTTTTATATTTATATATTTTTAATTTTTCTCAGACTCCTTCATATACCTGCTCAGAGTAGGCGACTTCTACCAGGATTTAGCTGGTAGCCCCGATTTACTGGTGCACGTGGACGCATCTAGCCTGCCCAAGGATCACCCTTGCTACTCCACCGATAGAAAGAAGATGCCCGGCTTGTTTTCAGACGAGACCAGTGGCCTCACTCTCTTTGAGATCGCTGCACTTCGATCAAAGTGCTACGCATTTGACATGGAAGGCAGCGAACTCATAAAGTCTAAGGGGATCCGCGGACACGTCGTCCGGAACCATCTGTCTTTGGACGATTACAAACGGTGTTTGTTTAAAGACGATGGTGACGATGGTGACGATGCGTCAAAACGAGCATTGGCTGGAGAAAATGCCCGTGCGGTCATCGGAGTGATACGTGGTGGTGAGTGTCCACCGACATTATCGTTACCCTACACTCCGTACCGACAGAACGTGTCAATCCGTTCGTTTGAGCACGAGGTACACACTTTACGTACAACCAAGTTGGCGCTTAACCGTTTTGATGATAAGCGCTACACGCTCAACAACAGAATCGACACGTTGGCTCACGGGTATTATGCTATACCACCAATGGAAGACCTATAGTTTTTAATTTCTTATTATTGTAAAAAAATATCGTCAAGAATTGAAATTTTTTTTTTTTTGTAAATATACATGTATATAAGTAGTTTTAAAACATTTTTTTAATGTAACATAATGTAGTAAGAAATTGTATTTTTTCTAAAAAATATATGTATATGCGTGTACATATTTGTAAATATATATATAATATATATATATACTACAACGTTTTTTTTTTTTTTTTTT